CCCCCCCCCCCCCCATTTTTGTGTTGACCAGGGGTGTGCGTGTGCAGCGTCAAGATGCCTCCGGTCTTTTTTATTTAAAGGAAGGGGAAGGAGCGCGGTAGATGATGCACAAGTCCACCACCACTATATAAACTAATTCACGTGCAAGTTACCGTGCCTGTCCTCACCCTGTTGTGGAGCACATGGTAGACATCGTGCGCGCGTACGCAAGAAGAGGGCGTGTGAAATCGTCGCTCATATGAGAGAAGCAGAAGTGGCAGGCAAATAAGATAATTCGGATTTCAGAATCACATGGAATGATCAGGCAGAAGAAGAAGAAGAACGGGAAGGAAGGGGAGGGGCTTGTGGATGAGATAACAGCAAGTATAGTGTACATATTATGCTTTGTTGGAGGGGTCGACTGTCTCAGTCAGAGGAAGGCTAGAAGGTAACACGCGAGCACAACATAGAAAGAAGTGTCCGAAGGAGGACAGGAGAAACGGATGATTCATTGAGCATCGATCATGTTAGTCTCGAGGTTGATTGACACGTAGGGGTAGTACTCCCCGTGTGTAAAGCCTGGGCCGGAGATTTCCTCCTATGTGGGACGGGGTAGATGGGAACAAAAGTTATTTCTGTCCATGGATGGTGCATTCGCGTGCCCTAGCTTTGTAATCACAAATTGTCAGTTTGTGGATGACAGGAAAAACCGTCCAATACTCATTGTTTTAACTACCGTTAATCTTGCTCGAAGAGTACATGTTCTACTGATACATGACCAAACAGCTTACTTACTCGGCCAGAAGGTTGGTGGAAGTTGTAAGTGAGGAGGAAACAGTTCCTCCGTACGCCCAAGTCCTGCCGAAAAACACTGAGTCAGATCGCTTGAGCGTTCAAATGCCTGGTTGGCCGTGACTACCCAGGGTAGAGGGATGCGTCGCTGCAGTTTCTGGATCTGACGGTGAACCTCAGCACTTGAGGCTGCCGGGCGGCGGCGAGTTAAGACTTATTGGGTGACGGATAAGGTTATTCAAGTCGTCATACGGCTACGGTTTGTGGTCTTTCTGTGAATAGCCAATAAGTCCGATCGGCGCTCCTTCGTGCTTCAACGTGCTCCCGCTGCAGGAGTCATGATGACTTATTCACTAAACTCGAAAACCCGCTAACTCTACAACGAGCCATCACTGATGTCCGTCGCACAATGCGCCATGTGCATGCGCCCGGCAGTCCGTGGTCAGGCTGACAGACGGGAAACTATTAGCAACAACCGAGAGAAGTATGATGAGATAGGGTAAGGAAGTACTAGTCAATATTCTCACGTTATGCTTGAGCACCGTTTGACGAGCGTCAGCCTTGGGTCAGAAAGTTCACGAGGATAGTTCTGGATCACCAAAGAGCCTCTTGGCTCTCTTCTTGTTGCCTAGGAATGACAGCAGCGCAGATGCTTAACCAGTCCAACCGAATCGTTCGCCCAAGTGGGCTTTGGCTTCAGTCGTTCACCAGCTAAGGGACTCATATTGGCAAAAAAGGGGTCGTCCGTCGACACGCCTAGAATGCCCTAACCAAAAGTTAGCATCATGCGATCGTCATCACCCGCCGTAAGTTAGAAATTACACGCACTGAAGTATGCGGGTCCCTTGTGCTGAACCTGCTCAGTTCGTCATCACTGCTAGCACGAACAGGGCGTAAGTTAGGCAAATTAAGAAATTTTGATAGCTAACCGGGTATGACACGAACAGGAACTCCCGAACCAACACTCCTATATCGTGTCTACCTATTTGATTTAAGTAGCTTGGCATACTTTAGCGATAATGCCTGAGGCTCACTGCAGTTAACAGCGCCTTCCAAGAAAGTGTAGGTGGAGGTTTAGGTTAATTAACCAGCAGAAAAGACAGGACAGGGAGGGGATATGAACCCCTACAATGCAGGCGGCCTTGCGCAAAATCCCAGGGTTAAGGTCTACGGTAAGGTTAGGATTAAGATTTTGGCGAAGACACGGGAATAAGTGCTCTCCCTGAAATTTACCACAAGATGGATTTCTCGCTCCAGCGTCATGCTGTAGAAAAACCGTATTTGTGCCGAACGCCTACTTTAATTTAGCAAAAAAGCGACAGCCAAAACTCTCGTAGCCAACCGTTTTAGGTGAAAAAGCCGGACTATTGCAATGTATATCGAGCTACGTAAATAAAATAAGTAGGCACACTGTATTAATATAATTTACGGGGCCCACTGCCGCGCTTGCCAAATTACTAATAACGGCATGCCGAAAAGAGCGTTTTTGTTGTTGGATTCAAACAAGAATACCGGTGCCTGTAACCAACTTGTTAAAGTCAGCAGGGGCAGTCAAACTTACATCCTTAATGCTGCTCACACAGAGATTGTCCAGATGCTCGTACGCCTGCTGCAGCACGTCTCGCAGCTTCTTAACATTCCGTTTATTGGGTTGAAGTAGCACTGACTCGAAATCGACGGGCAATCCATACCTAAAAAGGCGATATGGACGGGAAAATAGAATACGGCCGAACAAAATCGCACAACAACAACTACTACTAATACTACTACTATTGCGGCTACCAACACAACTGAAAGTACGGCCACCGGTACCGTTTAGAAAGACGCTCTTTTTTGCTGTGGCGTCGAATTTCTGCCTGGACAGTGAGGAAGTTAGCCTCAACGAGGTTTTCTAACTGTCAACATTGAGAAGACCAGACGAGGTCCCTGCGATAATGTTGAGACAGCTTCCTAAGGGTGATAGTTGAGACCGCCAGTAACATACTCCAGCTGTTACTTGATTGTGATACGCCGATAAAAGTTAAACAGATTCATACGAACGGGTCATTGATGCAGACAGACGATTGCTGACCAGCGAGCTTAAAGCGTACTTGACGCACGGAAGAGAAATGACTCGGTAGGTGGACAGGTAACTTTGCTGAGACAAAACCGGTCCTATATCAAGATGAATAAAAAAACTTAGATATCGAAAATGTGGTCGAATTTGCCCATTTCAACTTCAGCAAGACGAGTGACCACGTCACACACACACACGCAGCTCTTCGAAAACTTGTATAACATAGGCCTTTGAGACAACCTATTGCAGCAGATTGAAAGTTTCGTCTGTGGGGGACAATGGCGAGAGATGCGTATCGACTTCAGTTTTTGGTAGAGGCGGTATCTACCAAGAGTCTGTTGTTGGGTCGCTTCTCCTCACAATAAACGTAAATGATTTGTTGTTTAAGCCAAACAACAAGTGACACATGCTACAGATGAAGGAATAACGAGACTAAAAACACTACGCCGTAAAATTGCACCGGGTAGGTTGCAGCACAACTGAAATACAAATTAGAGAAGTCAAATCCTTCGAAAGGAATGGACTACAGACAACGAGGGTGAAAGAACGACCCTCTACGATGCTTTCTTAACGGAGTTCCGTTAAAAACTGCCAATGTTAGAACTAAGCTCAGCATTCATACGTGGCATGACTTAAACGGAGTATCGCTGTTCTCACAGTCAGCGACACGCAGCCTTATTTTCACCTCCATGCTGTTATGAGACCTAAACTATGGCGCCAACGAACAACCGTTTCAAATAGTGTCGAGATCGAGTCTGTGAGAACGAGAGTGGTGGCCCACGAAGTAGATTTGCTGGATAAACTAGAACACTCCGTTTTTCTCACAACGAGTTCGGGGAAACAAGGGAGATTCTCCTCCCTGTTGTGGTTGGGGCTGAGACGGTTGGGCCTCCAGGCAACGCGTGGACAATCACTGACTTAAAGGTATGGCCCAGCTGAGAAGACAACGCATCTCAGGAACACGGTGGATCCGTCCTCCAAGCAACGCGATGATTTGATGTGGAATAGACACCCTACTAAATATACTTTAGTAACATTTATATTCGAATTCATAGGAAAAGAGACCATGAGGATCTGTTAGGTTGCCTCCTGTCTGGCGAGGGAGCCAGATCGCAATCGATTTTACTGGGCAGGTGACACTCGCCTGGATAAGTCCCTCCGTCAGTGTGGCTTTCGGGGCACAGAGGTTACGCTGAGAACAGATTAATGGAGGCATAAATAGGAATTAGTGCTAGAGTGGAACGATCATCTTATGCACCTAGGCATTGAACGACGCTAGCAGTCCAGAAGACACTAGCCCCCCTCCCCGCTGCCATCGCGAAACCAAATGACGCTTCAATTACTTTATTTGGGACCATCCGTATCTTTAATCTGAGCTATTGTAATGTTCGCGCACGTGCACACTACCTACTGTCTTCATCGGTGGTTGGAGGCGCAGGGAGAGAAAACTGCGCTGTCCGAAGCCTTGGTAGATGAACCGACCACAGCACGGTGACCTTGACATTGGAAACACTGCATCGCAGGACGATACTACCAACGACGGCATTGTGAAATTAGATCGAACCATACTCAGATGGGATGTGAAGTGGATTGCGTGCATTGCCCGTCGTTCATTGTCAGGCAACAAAACCCGTTGATAGACTTCGCCCGCTCAAAAATGAGATGGAAAGCCCTCTAACAGTAGGACTTTTATCTGTGACTATAATAAACAGGCTAGTAGAGCAGAATGCCCCAACAGACTGACTCAAAGAAGGGCGCTTACCTCAATACTGATTCGACGAACACGCGTAACGCCTTAACATGCATCATTATAGAGAAGGCTTCACCAAAGTTGATTTTGAGCCAACGGAAGAGCGGAGGCTGAAAAAAAAGAAGTGCATAAAAGTGACGGTTATGTTGACCACTGAACAAGGGCTCTCCCTCGGAAACCTAGTACTTGTTTTCGGCAGGCCCGTAGCTCAATAAAAAGGGTAGAATGAAGGAAGGACGGCGAGTATTCACCCTAGTTAACTGAGATTAAGCTATTCTAAACACTAAATCGAATGGATGGGCTCAGAACAGAGAATTAGCGGCAGTAACACTTAACTGGTTGAGCAAAAACCGGTAAAATGCTTTTTGGTGCGAAGTGTGCAAATATCCAGAAGACTGAGAAGTGTAGAGCAGGTTGCAAATGAAGTTCAAAACCGCACTGGAGTCTAAATCTAGATGAGGGCCTTCTTTGCTGACACCTAGCCTAGCAGCCTACCAACTCGGCCAGGTCGGTGGACTTTGTCAGTAGGCAGATGGGTCCTCCTGAAGATCAAGGCAGACCCGGTGATTTCAACCGATCTGATCGCCCAAAAAGGGTCAGTTACGCCGTGGTTCTCCAGACAGTGATTGCAGGGGTCGGATCGGTGGAGGGATGGTTTTCAGCAGTTTCTAGATGTCGGGCTGAACTTCTGAATTCACCCTCTGACAGAACAGTTTAAGGCTGCCAGATTGTACCAATTAGCGGCGGGTTAAGCTTTACTGGACGAAATGCAGTATTCGCCATGTCTTACTATCGCTGCGGATCGCAACTTTTCTTATCTGTAACCGATTGACCAGATCGGTATCTAAGCATGCCTAAGGGTAATCTCACTGTATGGTCCGTGACCGTTTATTACGTAACTTGACGGTCGTTCCAATATTAGTCACCGCCATACACGTCGGGTAGTTCGCAGCAGTGTTAATAAACAGATCCCGTCGTCTAGAGATTCCTGCCGCATCAGTGCAAGTTGGTGACTACAGCTATTAGCAATTCGGGAATCCTACGAGACCGCGCATGGTGTGACCATCGTAGACCTTGAAATTTGCGATAACCGAATTTCAGTGTGAAATTTTCACTCCTCCGGAGAAGTACGCTGGCAGCTAAGTTGCCAGTAAGCAGATCTCTCTACTATGAATCTAGAAACCCGAGTAGATGCTCGAATATGAAGGCGCAGCCAATAGGTCGATTCACGGGTTATTCCATCGCGCACATCTACAGCCATCACCTGATGACCATGCCTGGACCGCCATGAAGGTGGGAATGTCCATTGCACCAGTCCGAGGGCGCTTTCTCAGCCAATATGTTCTTAACAATAGCTGCCGCCAGACACTTCATTAGTCGATGTTTAAGCACACAGTCAGGGAAGTCTGGGGGCGGAAGCTCCTATCAAGGTCAAACACCGAAACACTTTCTCAGGCAAGGAATCACATTGGCAGTGTTGGTCGTCTATCGGAGGCAACCAATCGCTGCTGAGTTAAGCCGATTAAAGGTCAAAGAGACGTCGGCGAGGAGCCTGTTCTTCACATTCCGACTCTATGTCATGACTGAAAATGCAAGTACACAGGTCATGCTGGAGTCAAAACTGCGCGAACAAAAGCTGACGGTGCGGAGGGGTGACCAATCGCATTTTCGCACTCTGTTGACAGATGATGCG